CCCTAGTGTGCACACTCCAGCACTTCAACTTCGTTCCCAAATGTAACAATTTCTGACCGAAACAAAATAAAAAATAACACAACACAACAAAGTACTACTGTTGGGACTTCTTCTAGGTGTGGACGCCTGAAACCAGAGGTGACTACAGAGGTCTATAAACCAAAGCCATGACTTGATGATGGTGCAGCACGTTAAGTCTCAGCCCTACATGTCTGTAGATTATAGATTACAGTCACATGATCTCTGTTTTCTTGCACCTCCCAATTCAATTGCATAAACAACTAAACAAGACACTCAACTCTGTCACCTTTAGTGCTGCAGGCTGCCGTTTACTTCAGCTTTGTGCAAGGAGCTTGATGGAGTCGATGGAGTCGGTGGAGTGATAATGAGGTGAGCTGAGGGAATCCTGCTCCTTTCCATCTGTGAGCGCTGTTGTTCGCTGGCGTCGGTGAAACTTTCTTTGAAGCAGATCTAACTTTGTTGGACTTGGAAACTTTGCAATGAAACTTATACGATGTGAGAATGTAATCAAACTGCTCATCAGAGGGAAAGTTTGATTTTTAAGACGTTTAATCATTAACTGGTGTAATGTTAGCTTAGAGAGCAGTGCAGAGGAGGAGGACACGATGAGAAAGATGATGAGGAAAATGTGCGTGGGCAAATCACGTATGTCATTTGAAAGAGCTATTAGTGATCTTTAAATTAAAAGTAACTTGTAAGTGTTACTATAGCCAAAAACATAAACACAGATATGCAGAGCAACGATGTCCATCTCAGCCACTGGTTTCAAGATGGCAGGGTAACAACAACCAGTGTATTTTTAATTTTACGTTTAGAAGAATGAATCAATTTTTTAGAAGAAATCATCACACACTAATCAATAATACGTACAGTATCATATTTTCTATTAAATAACCTCAAAGATTTACCTTTAAAGCTGCTTTATAAAGTCATGAAGAAGCAGCATCTACGTGAGGCAAGAAAATCACTCAAGGCTGCTTTTGGAAAAACACTTTCTTAATAACATTAAGATCACAGTTTCCTGCTTAATAAATCAGATTTTCTAATAGCGTGTGAATACTGTCCACAGATAACTTCAGCTCCTCTATTAAAAAGCGATACTAATTATTAAACAGCGTTTGAATGTGGTGCTGACTCCACATCTTCATACTTTAAAAAAATACATCATTATTATTCATGAAAATGTAAGGCCTTCCCATTTCCCATACTTTCTGTTACCGTCTCTTCTGAGTCCTTCACATTAGTCACCGTGCCATCACGTGTCTCTGCTGAGCGTCTCCATACTGAATACAATACCATTTTCTTTTAATGGAAAATGTCCCTGGATATTTATTCGCTGCTCTGCTTCTTCTTTTCAACACAGTTTCTGTCGTCTTCCACAGAGTTTAACGTACAAACTTTTGTTGGACCCAAAAACTTTATTTCACTGAGCTATTAAATCAAAAACTGTAAGTTAAGAGAGGTTGTTTTAAAGCTGCTGCTTTGTGGGTTTTTGTACAGTGACACACATTCGGTCATTTTGCCTCTGTACACCACCACTACTATTTTAAAAAAAAGTATTGCATTCACCGACACTTATATTTATTCACAGCGCTCAATTACAGTGGAAACCATGTGGAGTGGTAAAGCTAACAATCTGGTATGTTCCTAAATGCATAAATAGAGCAGCTACCTCAGCAACACCAGAACACCTGAAAGGCTTGATGGTCGAACGATTTCCCTGAAAAGAACTTCATAACATCGAGTCTCAAACATTTCCAAGGAGGAAGCTGCATCATCATCACAGTCTACAACAACAAGGCATCAGCATGACTGTCAATAACAGATGCATGCAGGCACAAACCACTGGTTACACTCAAGAACATCTGAAAGACACGAAACCAAGACTTAAATAATGAAAAGTATAGAGAAGGAGAAAAACAGCTCATGATGTGAAACATATCATTACCTGTCAAACATGGTGGAGGAAATGTTGTGGAATAGGCATGGACTCTAAGTCTGTCAGTGGAACCAGGCCACTAGTGTTTAATGATGATGTGACTGCTGAGTGTAAAGGGCTACACGCTCAGATTCTGCCAAACGCTACGAAACTGATCAGACTGGGTGTCACAATGAAAAGAGATAAGGACTCAAAGCTCAGTGCAAAAGAGTTTCTCAGTGGCTGGATCAGGCACCTGAAGAAAAACCCGAAGATGCACAAACAAAGAAAGGTGGCACAATGTTTCCAGAGAGAAAACACAGCATTTGGTGACGTCCATGGATTCTGGACTGCAATGGATTTTCATTCAAGCACAAAAAACAACACTAATGTTTAAAATGATGTCAGTTTGTCTAAGCTGGTGAAAGTGGGCTTAAAATCCCCGTTCAAAGACAGATGTTGTGCTGCTTTTCCTCTTTTAAACATTCAGACACATTTGGTCGCATCAGAATAATGCAAATAAAAATAAAACATGCAGGGTCGTCCACTTGACAGTTGCACCCAGACAAAGAGCTTTTTAACCATAAAACCCTTGCAGTGAAGGTAACTGGAGGTCCCTGTGGGGTGTGCGCAGGGACAGACAGGGGTAACAAAGGCCCAGGCAGCAGCAGATTTGTGTGTCTTTAGAGACCTGCAAGGAAGCCACAGGGAGCAGTGCAGCGCCAAAGCTGGCAGCTGACTGACACCCCTGTCACAGTGCCAAAAGCAGACTGGGTGAGAGTCCCTCGGAAATTCTGGAAACAGAGACGGCTACGTGCAAACTTCTCCTTCCACACGGTCGCCTACGGAAACCGTGTTACAACTTGTTGACTTTGTGGCATGTTGGCCAAGGCTCAAGTGTGAATATAATATGGGAAAAGATGAAAGACGGGGTTGTGGAGGATTTATACGAAAAAAGAAGAGTTCTCAGGGACGGGCTGGAGGCTATCCTCGCTGTCATAGGGTGAGGGATGCCGTACACCCCGGGCAGATCCCAGTCTACTCCAGGGCACAAGCAAGAGTTCGATAATGACAACAAATGAGACAGAAAAGTAATCTCATATAAATATAAAAACTGATATCATCATGTTTATTTTGTTTGGATCATCTTTCGAAGCCAAACTGAAAATACAATTCAACCCGGCCAGCACTAATGTCACCACTAACAAGCAGAGTCAATAACATTGATTATTTTGACACAGCAGCACTTGCCAAAGCGGTAAAATATAGTAAGTAACAAGCAAGCAGCCAGTTCTTGAAATGAATGTGTTGAAAGCAGAAAGAATGGATGAGCACACGTATCACAGAAAACGGCTCAAATCTGGACGGCTAGCAAACGCCAAAAACACAAGTCTCATAAAGTCTTACGGCGATTTAAATCAAACTCTGGTCCATTTTCCCTCCTTGGTGTGATTCGCTTGTGCAGATGTGAACACAGGAGTCGCACTGAGGTGGCTCAGGAGAAAACGTTGGTGGTTTGATTCCTGGCTGCTAATCTGCATGCTAAATATCCCACGTTGCTTGTGGTGCATCAAACCAGTGCAGAACCAACTAGCAGTTGTATCTTACAAGGTTGAGCTAAAAACCTTCCTGTAGCCACGGATACTTTGGATTCTGGGATGCAGCAAGGTGCTATAGATGTGACGCAGTCTGCACAAGCCAGCAGCTAGCCATGCTCTGCTAAAGTCAGGATGACAGCATCTTCTTCCTGTGCTGTTGATCGACCATTTATCATTTATTTGGAATAATTTATACACGAAATACAGAAACTGATATTTTATATACATGTTTTTAAGGAGACAGTTGTAGGGAAGCTAAATCACTGGATGCTCTTGTCAGTAAGCAGATTGCAGCCACTGTGTTTTACTGACCACTACACGCGTAACTGAGCAGTGCAAAAGAAAAAAAATGGTGCATGTCAGCTTGCATGTGATTTTTCATCAGGGTTTCTAATTGTCCTGCTCGCGCGCCCCTCTCACATCTGTTGGTATTTACAGAGTGAATTATTTCTGGCTTTTCAAAAACTCCAGTTAGCTTATCAACAGCTTGCACCCAGTTGAACACCCTCACTTATGCCTTTATGCCTGATTTCAGAAAACAGGATAAGATCAATTGACTTAAAACGCAGAGCTTCTCTGCCAGTGTCTTCTTTTCCTTTCTAAGGGAGATGGCTTTCGTTAGGCTGAAACCCCCCAGGGCAGAAACACTAGTGGACACCTCAAACAGACTCTAACGTTCTTTTAACATAAAAGAAACCTCAAGCTTCTGACTGATGACACAAACTGCCTGAATACAAAGACCATCCAAATACCACCAACACTAATAATAATTATTCTGATATTTTTTTATTTTTGTATGTTTCCAGGTGTCAGTGTGACACTAAAGAAACCTTTATTTAGCGCTTTATATAGCCTCTGTAGGAATTATATCTCACTTATCTTAAGTCTGCACTACTGTATAGCTCTGTGTAAATAATCATTCTGTACATTCGATAATTTTTAATCCTACAACTGTTTACAACTTGCATAGTTCCCATTTCTGTATAGCTGTATATCTCAGATTTCTGTAAAGTTATTTATTTCATATTCTGTATAGTTTTTCATATTTATATCCTGTACATAGCTTGTACTCACTACAGCCTGTACATACTTATAGTTATAGAATATTCACAACATACTTCATACCGTGTACATTATAACATACCATAATAGACCCATTTCTGTAATATACTCACATATCTATATTATTGCTAATATTTATTGTAATATATCTATATCACTAAAGCACTTCTGGATGGGTGCAAACTGCATTTCGTTGCCCTGTACCTGTGCATGTGCAATGACAATAAAGTTGAATTCTATTCTATTTCTATTCTATTTGAACTATTGAAACATATTAATAACTTGAGAACAAAAGAGAAATAAAGAAAGTGACAGTTAATGTGTGGAGGAGTCTGTGAATCAGTGAAACAATGAAAAAGTGATAACCACCAGATCTGAACACGGCTCAAACACATGCTGACCTGGTAGGAGTCTGTGGCCTCACGGTCCACTGAGCGGCTGACTGACACGGCTCCTGAATTCATGTCAATGGTGAAGAGACCTTTGGGATCCTGGTCAGCACCGGGGCCTGTCATTCGGAATATTTGTTCCCTTGGCTCCCCCGTTGAAATCAGCTGCAGACATATGGACACACACACATATTCATTCTAGTAAAAGAAGCTTGCAGAGGCTTCAATGGTGATGCAAATCCCTGATAACTACCAATTAAAATTTTATAACAGACTTTGATTTAATTTCATCAGTTGGTAAATTCATCTCATCTGAAACAAGAAATTTCACATCATTTCCCTGAGCACTGGAGGCCTGCTGCGACCGCTTGCACATGCATCATCAGATTCCAGTGATATAAGTGGAACAGTTCAATAATTCATATAAAAAACAGTTTTTCTTAATAATTAAGTGAAAATGTTATGTTTTGTTGCTTTTATCATTGTTGTTATTTAGGTCACAGGAAAAAGGTTTTGAACTAAACGCTAAATTAAACACTGTGAACAAAGCAGCGATGCTTTTCAGGAATTCTGCCAATCTAGTTGGCTCACGGTTCTTTTTTCTGAGGCGGGAATGATCTGACCCCGGTGCTTTTTGGATAGAGGCACTCACATGAGTCTGTCATAGCCAGCAGCATGAGCGGGTACCCCAGGAACAGGAACAGGCCGGTGCAGAAAAAGAAAAACAGACAGAACAAAGCATTTTAGTAACAAATCTAGCAACAGTTACTAAAGCTCCTGAAAGGGCAAAAAGTGAGAGATTATCTGGATTACACACTATTATAACTAAACACCACCTTCATCGTCAATATATCAAATGAGAAATAAATACAATAAAATATAATATATTAAAAAAATATAATAAAATAAAAAGGAATAAATAAACCATAAGGCTTTTATCGAGTGGAAAAAAGTTAGCGTTCATCCTCCAGCTTCACTCTGTTTATGCTAACATAGCTGTGTAGCTAGCGATCACGTAGCACATCATTATATACCAGCTAGCCCAACTTCAGTAACCCTACAAACGTCACTGCTGTTTAGTTTTCTGTCTTCATTTATGCTGGAAGTGATAGCAGAGCTGTACGTTTGAATTTCTTCCTGTTAAAAGGGAGTTTTTCCTTCCCACTGTCGCCAAAGTGCTGCTCATAGGGGGTCATATGATTGTTGGGTTTTCTCTGTATCTATTATTGTACAATCTACTGTACAATATAAGGCGCCTTGAGGCGACTGTTGTTGTGATTTGGCGCTGTATAAATAAAATTGAATTGAATAGATTACTCCACGAGGCTCCTGAGTACGGCAGCCGTAATGCTCCAACAATCCATCAAGCGGTGCGGCTTCATAGCTTACTAAAGTTGTACTAAAACATTTTTGACAGATTTTTGAGCGCCGTGTAGCACATAATATTGGTTCGAGGTCAGTAAGCACAACCAGAATTCATATGTAAGGCCCACTGTCGATTTTTGAGAAGGTTAAAGGATTTTAAGTGCACCTTATAGTGTGGAAAATACGGTATGTTACATCTTCATATTTCTTATGAATTATGAGGTTACACTGCATATTCACAAATGTTCTGTTCAAAACATTGTGACCCGAAGAACCAGGCTGTCAAAACCATGACAACTTTAAAAGCTCTAGAAATCATTACCCCCAAAAGGTAAGGATATAGAATTAGATACTTCTGACCTCATTGGCCAAATTAATGAGTGATTAGAGATTTGTAGGAATTGAGAATATTTGGCAAGTTTGTATACACTGACTAGAAAACAGTAAAGATAAGGGGTGTGTGTGTGTGTCTGTGTGATTTCATTTGAATGATTCATTTCCTGTCTCGTCTTATGGATCAGTGTAGCTCACACCTCACGTTGTGTATTTTTTTTAAACTTATCAAAAATAAATAAAGTAAATCACACAAAAATGTTCAGAAAACAAAGGAAACCAAAACATCTTGAAATCCAGCACTTCTATAAATCTGTTCTTTCTAAATGCCACAGAAGCACGCCGAGGGTCATCACCAGTGTCAGCACTCTGGGCCTCAACACTGTCGCTGTGTCAAGGACCTAAATGGTCACCCTGTATGGTGCCTGTGATAAGAGAAATGCCACGAGGCTGCCTTTAATGAGAATACACTTCAATGGGACAGCAGCTAAAATGAAGGCCTTTCTACTCCCACTTGAAAGAGCATGGGACATGAGACTACAGCGTTACAAGCCTGCACCAGATGAAGCTGAAATGCTTATAGCCTCTCCAGAGCTCTCTGCCATTTATCTCTATGTCCTGCTTCATCTTTTCCCTCTGCTCCCTCTCGCTCTAAGGCTCCTTGGTCCCCCGGTTCTTACTCTCTCTAATATGTCCATCCTAGCTCTTCTGTTAAGCATCAATATTTCTTTATATAGTCATCCTTTTCCATTTCCTCTTGTGCTTCTTCTTTTTAAAACATAAAGAAACATCCACATTTTTAAAAAAGCTTAGCAGTAGGCAGCTTTTTATGAATAAGCACTGCATGCTGAGAATATCTCCTCTTGGCTTTTGTTTTTCTTTTTTTTTCTTTAAAAAAATGGCAATATTAAAAATTAGAACGGCGTAAAACGTCGTCTTCGTAGGACAGAACGCGAAAACAAAACCCAGCGCTGCACACACTCAAACAGGTGGCACTGCTGTCATTAAAGACAGAGATATTTCTGGTCTGTAATCACAGTGACAGCCAGCACCTGCAGAGAGTGACAAACTGGGTCAGATGAAGAGAAGTGAAAAAGAATGAGGTGCAACATTAGTTGGATTCACAGATGGCTTGGCATCAAACTTTGATAGGCGTGGGGGGGAGTGAAGGGAAAAACAAGAACAGTTGTAGAGGGAGGCAGGATGAGGAGAGAATAAGTGAGAGAGGCGGATGTAGGGACTGTGGGAGAGGGAGAGATCACTGATAAAGGCACAATAACTTCAGCTGGAGAGTAGCTGAAGTGTCAGGAGAAGTTTAGGCTGATTAGACGATGTCTCTGTGGGGCCCCAGCGTGATAATTTACTGTGCACACGACACATACTCTCTGTGATGTACACGCATGCTGGCGAAGAAATGTGCTCCCAGTGGCTTTGTCTCCACTGAGTCTGTCTCCCTGTGTGTGTGTGTGTGTGTGTGTGTGTGTGTGTGTGTGTGTGTGTGTGTGTGTGGGAGGACTGATGGGAGAATCTCACCTCTTTCTATCAGATCTCATTACCACCCAAGCATACATGAAAGACTGCGGTGCTTGTGATACTGCAGGAAGATGACAAGAGGTGTGCTGCTGCTCTGCAACACCAAACAGCAGCTTGTTGAAAAAAATGAGCAGCAAAACAATAAGACCAACAGCAGAGTGTGTAAGTTTATGATTGGTTTTGGTGTGTTAAAACCAGCGTATGCAAAATGTCGGGTGGACGAGGAATAAAACCTTGTATAGGTGTGTGTAGCTGTATACCTGTGATTAGTGATGTGAAACAGGAGTTGAAATACCGAGTACAGCCTTACTGCTTCCGTGAGAATTATACGTAGCAGTAAGCTACTGCTAATCAAATGCACTTTATTAATGAATCATGAGCAGGTGTGAGCACCTCTGTAAAAACAGAACTTTGGAAAGTTTGCAGCTCTGGAGCATTCAACTGTGCGTTAACATAATGCCACAATCTACCCAGAAGCGGATGCTGCGACAAATTTACCCCAAAGTCCCCAACGCTCAGATAAACTGCAAATAAAAAATAACATAATAAATTATAAGCCTGGATCAGCATGTTAGATGTCAATCTTTACTACAGAACACGACTAGAAAAAAAGCTGAACAACAACAACAACAAACTTTATCTATACAGCACATTTAAAAACCAGTGGTGTACCAAAGTGCTTAACATGCAAGAGGGTAAGATGAAGTAACAGGATGAGGGCTATGGCAAGGTACCAAAACGTGCTAGCAGCTTGAATGGCATTAAAACACACGAAGGCAAAAGAACTGCATATAAAAGCATAAAAGAAGGCTAAGTGTAGAGGATAAAACAGTCAAAAAAAATTTAAAATGAAGATAAGAATAAGCGTTAAGCTAACTATCAAGCAAGCGTTAACTGGTAGAAAAGGCGAGGCTAAATAAGCGGGGTTTTAACCGCGATTTGAAGGAATGGATGTAATCAGACTCGCGGACAGCGATGGGGAGGTTATTCCATAAATTGGGTGCAGCCAAGGCAAACGCGCGGTCACCTCTAGTCTTCAGCCGAGATCTCAGCAGTACCAGGAGTGACCGGGAAGATGATCTTAATGCTCTAGCAGGGGTGTATGATCTAAGTAGCTCAATGAGGTAGCTTGGCGCTATATTGTTAATAATTCAGAAGGTAAGCAGCAGGATTTTGAATTGAATGCGATACTTAACGGGAAGCCAATGCAGATCAGCAAGGACAGGGATAATAGAGACACGCCGCCCACTACCAGTAAGGAGACGAGCAGCTATGGAGGAGAGTAGAGTTAAGACTGAAGTAAAGTGAGTTGCTGGTTTCAAAAGCTGTTTACCAGGAGAAAGCCTCTTGTTTCCTAGAAGAACACTGCAGCACAGCTACAGTTTGCAAAGTTGCATTTGAGCAAACTTTGGAAACAACGTTTTTTTTGGTTAAAAAAGGAGATGTCTGGCCATAATGCACCGCACCCTGCTTGGTAAGAAAAACACAGCATGTCAGTACAAACACCTCATTGTGACTGCCCAGTACATTCTGATGGTTTGGGCTTGTTTTGCAGTCATAGGGGAACGCTGCACTCATGGATTTGACTATGAACTCCTTTGTTCATCATCTGATTAGAGTGAGACGTCAGGCTAAAGCTCGGCCGAAACTGGGTCGTACAACAAGACGATGATCGAAAGCACAGCAGCAAAAATCAAGGTGCTGCGTTGGCCCTGCCACGGTCCAGACCTCAGTCTGACTGAAATGCTGTGGCGGGACCTTAAGAGAGCTGTGCACAAACAAATGCCAGCAAACCTCAGAGTGGGCCAAAAATTCTCCCCATCGACGTGAGACACTCGTTAAAGTCAAACAGAAAATAATTTTAACTTCTGCAGGACACTGAATCATAGGCTATGCACAGGACACGACTGAATGTACAAAGATATCTTCATGAAAAACACATATTTAATATAAAGTTAGTCTAAAGAAAACATGATCAGTCTGAGTCATTAACATGCAAAAGCCTTCCACACACACTACACGTCCTTGTACTTTTTAAGGGAGAACGAGGGAGTATTCTGACTCCTGTGTGTGTGTGTGTGTGTGTGTGTGTGTGTGTGTGTGTGTGTATTGTGTGTGTGTGTGTGTGTGTGTGTGTGTGTGTGTGTGTGTGTGTGTGTGAGAAAGAGAGAGAGAGGAAGAGTATCCAGTAGCATCCCTCAGTGATGCTTCTGTTATCCCTGTCAAGGTCACACAGCCAGCTGCGAATGACAATCACCAGCCATAAAAGGACTCCTGGGACCGCGCCAGTGTGTGTGTGCATGTGTACAAGCATGCAAAGCTCGGAACAGCGCTTTGCCTGATTGTCCTGCCACTCCAGCCTGCTAATGAGGGGGACGAGACAGAAAGGCCTAGTGAAGACGCGGACAAACAGAGCAGGGCCAGTCC